AGAGAGAAAGAGAGAGAGATTCCCAAGCAGGCTCCATGCTGTTAGCGCAGAGCCCGATGCAGGGCTCGATCCCACGAATCGTGAGATCTTGACCTGAGTCAAGATCAGTCAGATGCTTGACTGACGGAGCCACCCAGGCACCCCTATCACTACAATATTATTTTTTTTTAATATTTATTTATTTTTGAGAGAGAGAGAATGAGTGGGGGAGGAGCAGAGAGAGAGAGAGACACAGAATCTGAAACAGGCTCCAGGCTCTGAGCAGTGGCCACAGAGCCTGACACGGGGCTCGAACTCTTAACGGTGAGATCGTGACCTGAGCCGAAGTCGACGCTTAACCGACTGAACCACCCAGGTGCCCCTCACCACAATACTCTTAAGTGAAAATGCAACTGGCAAACAATGCAAATGGTAAGATTCCATTATTATATATTTATCAAAAAAAACAAAACCCATGCATTTCAGCAGGTGCTTGTATGCAGGCAAACGCCACACTCTGCTATGATGGATCTGAAAGAGGAAACAAGAAAGTCCATTTCACTATGCCCTCTAGGTAGTCGAGGAAACTGAGACTTAAAAGGTTTAAATCAAGTGACTTGCCCAAGGTCACACCTGGTATGGACTAAGTTGAGACTGAAGTTCAGGATGGCTTGACTCTGTAGTCCGTGATCAGGCAAGAAAATGCAAAGGAAAGGGATGAGTGGTATCAGGCATGGAAGGAGAGAAAACCTGGCTGAGTCCTGGAGGCCTCTGTGGAGGAAGAGAGGGGAACAGAGGGGAGCAGAGGATAGCTGGGACCAGGGAAGGGGCCTGGAGCTGAGCGGCTCGAGGGAGGTCCACTCGAAAGGGGTTGCAGTGGCCCCAGTGAGCTGTGAGCCCGAGTGGCCCAAAGGAAGGCAGAGCAGTGGCGACAGGCTGGAAAAAATGGCCCTGAGCCCAGGCCCAGGGGAGGCCAGGAGGAGCCGTGTGCGGAGGGTGAGGGAAGAACAAAACAAGGATGATGCTCTGCTTTGGCTGGTCAGGGGCCACGCGAATGGAGAACACAGGGAAGAGAGGGTTTGGAGGTACTGGGGTTGGGGGAGGAGGCAGTGCAAGGAAGTTTGGGTTTTCGACAGGTTGACAGGTTGAGTTGAACATAACAAGGGACGTCTAGGCAGCTGCAGGAAAAGCCCGGAGCTGGGGGTAGAGGATGAACTTGGAAGTCACTAACAGTGAGAACAATAGCTAACATTTACTGAACGCTCACTGTCTGTCCGGCTCTGTTCTGAGCGCGTCACTTGCACGGTCTATTATGCAATCTTCCTAACAATGTTCTGAAATAGGTCCATTTTGAACTCCATTTATAACCGAAGAACTTGAGCTAGCATTTAATGAGAATTTGCCGTGTGTCAGGCACGTAGGATGTCACAGGAATTACCTTATTTACTTATTTTAAAGTTTATTTCCTTTTGGGGCGCCTGGGTGGCTCCATCGGCTGAGCGTCCGACTTTGGCTCTGGTCATGGTCTCGCGGTTTGTGAGTTCGAGCCCCGTGTCAGGCTCTGGGCTGACAGCTCGGAGTCTGGAGCCTGCTTCGGATTCTGTGTCTCCCTCTCTCCCTGCCCCTCCTCTGCTCATGGTCCGTCTCTCTCTCTCTCTGTCAAAAATAAATAAACATTAAAAAAAATTAAAGTTTATTTCTTTTGAGAGAGAGAGAGAAAACTAGTGGGGAAGGGGAAGAGAGAGGGGAGACAGAGGATCTTTGCTGACAGCACAGAGCCCGATGTGGGGCTCAAACTCATAAACGGCAGATCATGACCTAAGCTGAAGTTGGACACGTGACCAACTGAGGCCACCCAGGCGCCTCTATTTTTTTTAAGCTTTATTTATTTATTTTGAGAGAGAGAGAGAGAGAGAGAGAGAGACAGAGAGAGAGAATCCCAAGCAGGCTCCACACTGTCAGCGCAGAGCCAAATGTGGGGCTCGAACTCACAAGCCGTGAAATCATGACCTGAGCTGAAATCAAGAGTCAGATGCTTAACTGACTGAGCCACCCAGGCATCCCAGGAATTACCTCATTTAATGCCACGGGCACTATTATTATTATTATATGAGGATGGGCAAACTGAGGCCCCGAGAAGTTAAAGAACTTGCCTACAGTCACACATGATAGGGTCAGGGCTCAAAACCTGAGTCCAACTCCAGAGCTGCTTGCCTACCTCCCTTTTTAAAAGGCTCACTCAAGGGGTCCCCGGGTGACTCAGTCGGTTAATGTCTGACTTTGGCTCAGGTCATGATCTCACGGTTCGTGAGTTCCAGCCCGGCGTCGGGCTCTGTGCTGACACCTCAGAGCCTGGAGCCCGCTTCGAATTCTGTGTCTCCCTCTCTCTCTGCCCCTCCCCTGCCCACGCTGTGCCTCTCTCTCCTTCAAAATCAAATAAACATTAAGTAAAAATGTTTAAAAGGCTCACTTAAGAGCAGGTGGTGCTGGGAAAACAAGGAGGGGGTTTCAAGAAGGGTGTCCTAAGCAGTGTTGACCACTACAGAGGAGCAAAGAAGGTAAAGCTTGGAACTTGACCCTTGGTTTGCCAATTAGGAAGTGTTTGAGAACTCTTAAAAGCACAGTTTCAGAGAAGTTGGAGGTAAGCAGGGTTCCAGGCTGCAGTGATCGGCAGCATCAGAGGGAGACGAGGCAACCCAGAGTACTCAAAGAGCCTCCCCCTGCCTATGTAACGGGCACCTGGTGAGAGAGACTGTGTTCCTTGGCACATTCCACCTTCTCCCTGGTGATGGGCAGCTCCACTCGGATTGGGCTTCTCTACCCTCCACTGAGAATCCCGTTGCCCTGGGTGATCAGAGGTGGTGCCCCACACAGCCGTCAGGACTAAACAGCCAGAATAATCCTGGAGCCACAGAAGGAACTCTGTGTAAACAGAGGGTTTTTCCAGGGCTCCATACCAACAACTGTTTATAGCATTCATCACACACAGCAAAAACATCTTAAGTGTTGGCAAGACACCAGATTGAAGACGGCCTTATCTTTCATGGATCCTTCGTAATTAGAACCTAAAACTTTTTGAGACTTAGTCATATTCAAGCTTGCTTTCTCTAGCATCTAGAGTCTACGAAAGATCGAAACAACCATTTGCCCAGGGCAGCACTAAATGGCCGTGGCATTTGGTGGTTTTATTGCACTGTAATAAGGTTACTTACGTTCTTCCTAGAGTTCTTTAATCACTACACACATGGATCCCCATCTGTCTTTTACTGTAGTCTATCGCCAGCGGTTGCTTGAAGATCTTGGAACATCTTGTATCGGAGGAGATGCACTTTGGTCCTAATTGGGGTTTCTGTGGACTGGAGAGGCAACTGTTGATGCTGTTTACCTCTAGGGACTTATTGGACTTCTGTCTGCTGAGTCAACAGAAACGTAGCCTAGGAAACATTCCATCTGGTTGGAAGGCAGCCTTATTAGAAGCCTTCGAGAGCCTGGCCTACCTAGGACATTCGACTGTCAGTAGTTCATGGCTGCTACAGAAAACACCCCCAGACCTTTGGCCCACAAGATTTCTCACATTATACTGCAGAAATCCCAATGGTAGTCAGACCAAGAGGCGGATGGATCTCAGGTTCATTGGTTGGGAGCAACCTGGTGTAACGAGTCACTATTTCCGGCGTGGTGCAGGTGAGGAGGTTGAGACACACAAAGGTTAGGAGTCTCAGACAAGATCAGGTGCCTGGCTCGGGGCACAGCGAAGACAGGCATCCATGCATCTTGACTCCCTTGCACCTTCTTCCACAACACTCCGATCCGACCCTCGTTTTTGGAATATTTTTGTTCGGGGGGGGGGCGGTGTGTGTCATAAGGCGTTCATTTCTCTGGGCATAAATTCCCGTGTCCACCAGTGATATCAAGTCCCAAGAGGGCAGAATGCTATTTTTAAGGCAGAATCCCAGCTACAAATTAAATTAGCTTTCTGACCAGGAAGCCAAATAATGCAGTGGATTGTCCCACCCACTTTCCACATCTGACCACAACGTGGATGCATGAGGTGATTTGTGCCTTTGCAGTGAGCAATACTGGCCTCACCTATTTAGTGGGGTCTTCCCACTGGCAGCCTTTTTCCAAAATGCAATACCTTGAATAGTCCTGTTTAAAAGCAAGCAAACAAACAAACAAACAAACAAAAAAACCAAAAACAGCTGAGTGACTTTAAATATCTAATTGCCTTTATTCAATGATTCATGAATCAGGCAACATCCTATGTAGCAAGTAGAAGGGAGCTCAGAGTCGTACAAAATGGAACGTTTTTACAGGGGGAAGGTGGGACTAGTAAATTACGAATGGATTATTTCAACCTCTCAAACTAATGTAACATTGACTGTCAACTATACTTCAATAAAATAATAATAATTTAAAAAGTGCATTATTTCAGGCAAGGTCACCTTCCCTCAAGGGAAGGCAGGGGGTCTTATCAGGTGGATTATCTCACTAGTGACCACCAGAAAATTCCAGACTGATTGGTTTAAAATTCCCCTCCTGGGAGGGGTGCCTGGCTGGCTCAGTTGGAAGAGCAGGCCACTCTTGATCTCTGGGTTGTTTGAGCTCCACTTTGGGTCTACAGGTTACTAAAAAATAAAATCTTAAAAAAAAAAAAAATTCCACTCTAGGAGAGGCTGAAGCTGCAGTTAAGTTGGGTTAGTTAAGCGTCGGTGAAGGTTAGCAAAACCGACTCCACTTTGGATGTTTCTTTTTCACAGTCCCTTACAAACTGCAGTCCCCAAATGTGGTGGCGCTTAGGCGGGCACTTCATAAAGGGGGTGCATCTGACTCTGGCTGGAGGGGGCAGAGAGGGAGGCGAGGCCCAGTCTCTCCACGCCTGGTCGTGGGAACCCGCACCCAAGACCAGAACAGAGCTGAAGACGCCGAGCCGGGAGCAGTAGAGTGGGCGGCCTCCCGCCGCCTAGAGGCGCCTTCCACAAGTCCGCTCTGTCCGTGCTTCGTCTCTATGGCGGCCCCCACGGCCCTCTGGGTCGCGGAGCGGGATGAACTCTGGCGCGGGCGGCGGCAGCGGCGGCGGCTGCGCTGGGGCCGCGGCGCGGTCCCGAGGGGGCAGTCCCGGAGGGGATGGCTTTGCCCCGTCGGCTCTGGGGACTCGAGAGCAGTGAGTGTGGCGTACCGCGGGGGAGCGTCAGCGGCACCGCAAGGGCTGGGCCCCGGGAAAGGGTCCGGGAGGGATATGGGGCCCCGGAAGATGGGGAGGACCTTGGGGGCGTGGCGCGTGGAAGGTAAGGCGGGGGGATTGATGGGCTGGAATCCCGAGGGGCCACCCTGTAGGTGGTTAAGGGGCATTTCAAGGGGTCATTGTGTAAAGGGATCGTGGGGTGCGGAATGCTCTCCGAAGCTTTTGGGGAGGCCTCGTAAGGGTCTCGAACTCGAGGGGCAGGCTTGGGGAAAGAGCGAGGAGGCGGGGTCGACGGTAGTGGGGATAGGGAAGGGTAAGGGGGGCACGGTTAAGGCTTAGGAGATGGGGTAGGGATGTCGGAGCTGGAAAGGGTGGGAGTGAAGGGTGACCGGAGGAGAGAGCGAGGAGATGGTGGGGCATCTTGGGGTAGAAGAAAGTGGTCTGACCAAATCGATGTTCAGTAATTCTGAACGGATTAATAGATGGATGAACGAATGACAGAGGAAGGTAAGGAAGGATGGGCTGAGTTGAAGGGGTAAGAGGGAGCGGCGATTCTAGGGAGATGAAGTAGCAAGAGAAGGCAAGTGATGAGGACGAGGAACTGTACTTAAAAGGAGTAAATCTTAAACTTACAAGTAACTTTTAGGCAGAGCTTATGTTTGGTGATTTCCTTCTTGAGTAACCAGCGTATTGATGGAAAACCTTTGTGTCTGCATGTTTTAGACTGCAATGTGCTGTAATGACACTTTGTACAGTCAAGTTTTGGACTTGTGTTTGGGACTTAGGGATCCTGGAACAAATACTTGCTTATACTTTTTAAAGGTAAAACCTATAGTAGTTTTTAATACGTCAGGTATTGTAGTGTAAACTTACACTGCTTGTCTGTTTCGTTCTTTTAACACGAGGATGTTAAGGGGTTGATCTATGTGCGCTTTCTGATAACACAATAATGTTTTAACCTTGTCATAAATACTTAGGATGTATTAGAAACATATTTAATTCGTAATGCAGTTTAATTCAAGAATCTTGCTTTGCATTTGATTATATAGTTGGGATGCTGTCTATGAGAGAGAACTGCAAACTTTCCAAGAATATGGAGATACAGGAGAAATCTGGTGAGTTAGAAAAAATAGTGGAATTATGATTCAGAAGAGTGAGTGAGTGTGTGTGTGTGTGTGTGTGTGTGTGTGTGTGTGTCTTTTAAGTGTTTATCCCAAAGGAAAACAGCCTAAAATTCTTGGGAACTTTGGACTGATTCTAGCTTTAGTGGGTAGATTTAAAGAGTCTCTTCTCCGACTTTTAATGGTCCAGACTTAAATTGGATGACTATGCAGGTATCCCCCAGCTTTTTGAAAATGCACATTATGCCCCTCGGCTTTTATGAAAGACTTACATTAGTACCTGTAAGTACGTGAAAGAAATCTGAAGATTTTTACTTTAAAAAAAAAATTTTTTTTTAATGTTTATTTATTTTTGAGAAAGAGACAACATGAGTGGGAGAGGGGCAGAGAGAGAGGGAGACACAGAAGCTGAAGCAGGCTCCGGGCTCTGAGCTGTCAGCACGGAGCCCGACGTCGGGTTGAACTCATGAACCATGTGATCATGACCTGAACCGAAGTTGGCCACTTAACCGACTGAGCCACCCAGGTGCCTGAAGCTTTTTACTTTTGCACAAAAAGGTGAAGAACAAAACTAGCATTCACCGTTTGTCTTGCAGTGAGCCCTTAGAGAGGCAGTACACACCCCTAGCAGCAAGAGTTGTGCTGCCAAGCTCCTTCCCCGGGAACTATACTCAGCATCCCAGCATCAAGCCGCCATAGCTTTGAACAGTGTCTGTGAGCGTCTGTGCTTTTTCTTGATTTTTTTTGTGCATCTGTTAGCAAGATGTGTCTTAAGGTATTAGGCCTAAGAGAGGTTATTTTTGGGGTCTGGGAATGCTCACAAAATTTTACCGTATAAATTACTGGTAATTGCTTCTTTGTGCCATTTTGCTGCAGGAAAGATTTCATAGCAATGTTCTACTTGCGGTTAGAGGGGGGAAACCTGCATTAGGAAGTTACTGTCATCCTGTGATTGTCCTTGTTCAATAAGCGATGAAATTTTGAGCCATACACGAGTGTTAGTGCTGATGTAGAGAAACATTAATAAATAGCATATTGACTTTATCTATTCTATTCTATTCCATTGGGGGTGTTTTCTCCTAAGTACTAGTAGAGGTGAAGTTTAAGTAGTCACAGGTGCTACTTCTTACTTTCAACGGAGACTTACTTGAGCGTATTGAATAAGCTGCTTAAATGGAATCTAGTTGTAAACTTTGCTCTGTATTCCTCTGGTATCTGAGTAACGGATTCTCTGTTTCTAATAGGTTTGGAGAAGAGAGTATGAATCGGCTAATAAGGTGGATGCAAAAACGCGAGATTCCATTGGACGCTTCAGTGCTTGATATTGGAACTGGAAATGGTGTTTTCTTGGTTGAACTTGTTGGTACTTTTAGTATTCATGTGTTAAAGCCAAATTTTAAAATGAAATTAAAAACAAATCTTGCGAATGAGGATATTAACCATGTGAGTCTAAAGTAGCAGAGCAGTCGTAGCACCTTCTTTCAGGAGTCACATGGTACGGAAGGAGGCTGCGTGGATTGTGAGAAAGCAGGGCATCTGAGCGCTCGTCTTGGCCCTTCTGGCCTTAACCTTGAGCTTCAGCAAGCCACTTTATTTCTCTGGGTGTAGGTTCTTTCCGAAAACTTTTGACTAGGTGATCTTAATTGGTTTCTTCTAGCTCAAAACTCTGGAGATATGTGTGTATGAAAGAAAGAAGCCTTTTTACATTTCTGGTAGGACACAAATACTTTATCTTACGTGAGCGTATGGTTTGAAAAGAGTATTCTGTCCGTGGAACTGAGTTTGGGCACAGGTTCTACTACTAACTAAACAATCGTGTGCCTGTAGTGTGCTCATTGCTGTGGCATGTACTATGGTGGAAATGATAATACACTCCCTCTTAGATGGCTCTACTGTCTTAATTTGTATGGGTGTACACACAATGGTGAAATTTGTTGCATGACTTCCATGGGCCAAGGCTTGTGCTGGGCACTGGCAGCCTGAAGATGTAGACCTTGTGCTTGAGTTGTTCTAGTTTAGTAGAGGATGGGTGGACACAGAAACCCTTAACACTGTAGCTTGACTTGTGCGATATTAGATAACTGTGTGTCGAAAAGAGTGATTAGCTGTGGGGAAAAGGGGTAGGAAGGGTCTTGGAGGAGCTAATACCCAAGCTGGATGGAAATTGCACAGGCAGAGTGTAGTGAGTGTGGGTGGGGTGTAAGAGAGAAAATTTCAAGCAATGGAAACAATGTTTACAGGCATGAAGGTTTGAGGGTGCGTGGGTGGCTCAGTTGGTGGAGCATGAGAACTCTTGATCTTGGGGTTGGGAGTTCGAGCCCCGTGTTGGGTGTGGAGATTGCTTAAAAAAAAAAAAATCTCAAAAAAAGAAGACGTGAATGTTTGAAGCAGCATAGCATGTACTGGGACTGTAAATAAATTGGTACATTAGAATGTAAAGTGTATGTTCGAGATGGACAGAGTTGAGGATTAAGTTAAAGGTAGGAGCCATACATGTCATGCCTAATAGGTTAGATTTTACTTTTAGGCTATGGGGAGCCATTAACATTTTACTTTTTTTTTATTAGCAATTTTTTTTAATGTTTATTGTTGAAATTTTTTTTTTTTTTAACGTTTATTTTTGAGACAGAGACAGAGCATGAACAGGGGAGGGGCAGAGAGACAGGGAGACACAGAATCGGAAGCAGGCTCCAGGCTCTGAGCCATCAGCCCAGAGCCCGACGCGGGGCTCAAACTCACGGACCGTGAGATCCTGACCTGAGCTGAAGTTGGACGCTTAACCAACTGAGCCACCCAGGCGCCCCTAATGTTTATTTTTGAGTGAGAGAGAGAGAGAGAGAGAGCGCGCGCGCGCGGGGGAAGGGCAGAGAGAAAGGGAGACAGAATCTGGAGCAGGCTTCTGGCTCTGAGCAAGCTGTCAGCACAGAGCCTGACACGGGGCTTGAACTCACAAACCGTGAGATCATGACCTGAGCTGAAGCCGGATGCTTAACCAACTGAGCCTCCCAGGCACCCCAACATTTTAATTTTTATATATTTATGTACTTTGAGAGAAGGAGTGCTAGTGGAGAAGGGGCAGAGAGGGAGGGAGAGAGAGAGTCCCAAGCAGGCTCTACACTGTCAGTGTAGAGTCTGACATGGGGCTGGATCCCACAAACTGTGAGATTGTGACCTGTGCCGAAATCAGGAATTGAATGCTTAACTGAGCTACTCAGGCGCCCCACCATTAAAATGGTTTTTTGTTTGTTTTTTGTTTTCCCCCACCATTAAAATGTTTTAAGCAGTGGACTATGATTAGAAAAATTTATAGTAAATGTTTTTGAAACATCAGGGTGTAGCATATATGTGTTAAAGTGCACAAATCAAAAGTGTGTGGCTCAGTGAATTATCACAAAGTGAACGCACCTATGGTCACCTATGAACTATCACCCTGGTCAAGAGGTAATGTGTTATAGACTCTAGAAACTCCCCTGAACTCCCCGGCAGTCCTTTCTAAATTACTCCCTCCTTCGTTTCTAGAAGTAACCATTAATCACAAAGAATTTTAACATCAGAAGATCAGTTTGCCTGTTTCTGAATGTATGAATGGAAGACTCGGGTATATATTCTTTCTAGTGTCTTCTACACGTTCTGTGAGAGTCACTCAAGTTGCGTGTAGGAGTAGCACATTCATTTTCACTGCTGTGTGAAGTTTTTTTTGTTTGTTTTTACAAGATGTTACAAACCTACACCTTTGTTTATTTACTTTTCAGTTAGTTTAGATCCTGGAGGGGTACAGCATCGCACGGAGTCTGTGGCCAATGGCTTTAGCAGGAAGGTTCCTTCGGAATTTGGCACGAATCGTGCCACTGTTTCCACGAGCACGTTACTTTCCCCCAGGTTGCTCTGCTTTTGTTTGGTTTGCCACCAGGAGTCACTGTGTTGTTCTTGGCTTTGTACACATAAGCACATCTCTTGCCTAGATAGAATTCAGTTTCATTTTGAGCATAAACACCTTCAATTTTAAGAAGAGCTGTGTTCTCCCTGTGGTTCTGGACACCCTGCCTATAGCCAGCAAAAATACCCTTGGACCACAGCCTTCCAGACATATTTGTCATTTTAGGAGTTCTGCTCCCAGCAGGCCTCCACAGGTTCCAAGATGGCGGAAAGAAAGGGCTGTATGGCATTTAATTATATTGCAGTTTTATTTATTCATTCTCTTTACCTGTAGATTCTTTTGGATTTTAATGGTTTATTTGTAAAGGCTAATGATTTATCCTTTGAAACTAGTAGTTTAAGTAGATTCTTTTAGATTTTTTCACATATACAGTTGACCCTTGAATGGCATGGGTTTGAACTATGTAGGCCCACTCATTTGTGGTTTTTTTTTTTAATAAATATATATACGGTACTGTAAATGTATTTTCCTTATAATTTTCTTTTTTTTTTAAGTTTATTTATTTATTTTGAGAGAGCGAGTGAGTGCAAACATGGGAGGGGCAGAGAGAGAGGGGGAGAGAGCAGGCTCCATGCTGTCATCGTGGAGCCCGATGAGGGGCTTGAACTCATGAACCATGAGATCATGACCTGAGCTGAAATCAAGAGCTGGATGCTTAACTGACTGAGCCACCCAGATGCCCCTCCTTATGATTTTCTTAATAACGTTTTCTTTTCTTTAGCCTACTTTATTGTAAGAATACAGTGCGTGATACGCGTACAAAATATGTGTTGACTGTTATGTTATCTGTAAGGTTTCCGGTCAACAGTAGGCTGTTAGTAAAGTTTTGTGGGAGTCAAAAGTTAAATGCGAATTTTTGACTGTGAGGGGTGTCAGCACTCCTAACCCCTGTGTTGTTCAGTGGTTAACTATATAATTATGCAGACTGTGAATAATGGCAGTTTTATTTCTTCCTTTCCAAGCCTTTATAACTTTTTTCCTCTTCTTACACTGTCTATGACCTCAGTAGAATGTTGAAAAGATGTGATAATAGAAGACTTCCTTGTCTTTTTTTCCCCCTTTCAGAGATTACTTTGAATATTTCACTGTTAGGTATGATGTTAGCTTGTAAATTTGTTATTTGTTTTGTAGATCAGTTAGTACCAGATTAAAGAAGTTTCCTCCTATTCCTCCTTTGCTAAAAGAGAGTGAGTGTGAGAGAGAGTGTGTGTGTGTTTCTCATGAATCTTGTAATTTGCCAAATGTTTTCCCTTTATCTCTTTGAGATAATCATATGAGTTTTCTTCTTTAGGCTATTCGTGTTGGTGAATTACACTGATCATTTTCAAATGTTAAGTGCAACTCTGGAAGAAACCCAACTTGTATATATTGTTGGATTCAGTTTGTTAATATTTTGTTTAGGATTTTTGCAACTCTGTCCATGAGAAAGATTGTCTTGGTGATTTTCCTTTTTTGTAGTGTTCTTGTTAAGTTTTAGTTTCAGGTTATGCCAGCGTCACTGAATAAAAATGTTTTTATTGAAGGAGTTTATTAATGATTAGTGCTTTTTTTCCCCTTAAATGTTTGCTAGAGAGGTGCCTGGGTGTCTCAGTTGGTTAAGTGTCTGACTTTGGCTTGAGTCATGATCTCACGATTCATTGGTTTGAGCCCTGTGTCGGGCTCTGCAATGACAGCACAGAGCCTGCTTGGGATTCTCTCTCTTGCCATCTCTCTCAGCCCCTTCCTGATTCATTCTCTCTCTCTTTCTCTCTCTCTGTCTCTCTCTAAATAAAGAAGTTAAAACTTTAAAAAAAGAATTAAAAAAACGGTAGAATTCACTGGTGAAGCCACCTAGATAGGTAGTCTTTTTAAGGGAAGTTACTTTCTTTTTTAATGTAAACTTATTAAATGTATTTATGTAGAAAAGTGCTCATTAAGTATATAGGTTTTACAAGATGAACCCTTTGTGTAACTCACCAACCTGATCAAGAAATGAAACATTGTTAGCTCCATAGAAGTAGCCCCTTTGCGCACCGCCCCCCACTTACCCCCATTCCCTTCTAAAGTTAACCACTATTTTGATGTCTATCATCATATGTTAGGCTGCTTTTGAGATTAGCTGTACTGGTTTCTCATTGTGGTTTGAATTAGCATTTCCCTAATAACTAAGGATGTTGAGCACCTTTTCGCATACTTACTTGCCATTCGCGTATCTTTGGTGAAATGGGTGCCACATTTTTGGCCTATTTTTAAATTGGGTTGTTTGTTTACTTACTGTTAAGATTTGAGGATTCTTTATGTAATCTGGATATACGTTCTTTGCCAGGTGGGTGGTTTCTAAGTGTTTTCTCCCATTCTTTGGCTTCTTTCTTTCTTCTTTTTTTAACGTTTTAATTTTTTTGAGAGAGAGAGAGAGAGAGACGGATAGAGGCAGAGAGAGAGAGGGAGACACAGAATCTGAAGCAGGCTCCAGGTTCTGGGCTGTCAGCTCAGAGCCCGATGTAGGACTCGAACCCATGAATGCGAGATCATGACCTGAGCCAAAGACGGATGCTCAACTGACAGAGTCACCCAGGCGCCCCTTTTTTTTATTCTCTTAATAGTATCTTCGGAAGGGCAGGAGTTCTTGATTTTGATGAAGCTTAAAAAAAAGTTTATTAACTTTTTTCTCATGGATTGCTTTTGTTGTCATAATAAAGAACTTTTTGCCTAACCCAGGGTCACACAGATATTCTCCTATGTTGTCTTCTGAAAGTTTAAAGTTTTACCTCTTATGTTTAGATCTGTGATTCTTTTGGAGTTAATTTTTCTGTAAGGCTTGAGATACTGGTTGAAGTTCATTTTCTCTGGCATATGATTGAATTGTTTCATCCATCAGTTTTTGAAAAAATTGTCCTTTGTCCATTACACTGAGTTTTACCTGTTGTTGGCATGATGTAAATGGTAATACGGTTATGCGCTTTATTTTTTTGATCTGGCTTCTGCTGAACTTGGATTTGTGAGGTTCCTCTTTTCAGACATGGCTTTCAGTATTTCACCGTTCATTTCATTGTACTCTATGAAAATACCACAGTTTAATTATTTAGTCATTCATTCATTTATACATTCGTTCTCCTGTAGATGGAGAAACATTTGGGCTGTTTCTAGTACTGGATTATTACCAATACTGATAAACAGTTTTCCAAAATGGTTGTACTAGTTTATGCTCCTACTGGAGTGTGTGAGAAGTCCATTCTTGCGAGCACCTGGTCTTGTCAGTGATTATACAATTATGATTATGACATAACAGTGATTATGAAATTATACGATTTCAGTGATTCTCGGGGGTGTGTAGTGGTATCTCATTGTTTTATTATTTCCTGGTGACTAGAGATGTTGAGCGTCTTTTCATACGCGTTTTGGCCATTTGGCTATTCTTTCTGGTGAAATGCCTGTTTAAGTTTTTAGCTTATGTTAAAATTGAGGTGCCTGTGATTTTCTTATTGATTTGTAGGAGTTCTTTATATATTTTGGGCATGTGATCGTTGTATTGCCAATATCTTCATCTAGTGCATCTAGTTTAATATATAATTTAATACATTATTAGTGTTTTTGAATATTGTGTATTAAACCTTGCCTACCCAGCGTCATAAAGATATTTTCCTGTGTGTTCTTCTAAAAGCTTTATTGTTTTCTTCACATTTAGGTTCTGATCAATTGTTGTATATGTTGTGAGGTAAAGGTTGAGGTTTATTTTTTTCCTCGTGATTATCCAGGTAACCCAGCACCATGTATTGAAATGTCCATCCTTTCCCCCCGGCAGTTCTGTTATAAGCCATATAGTGGTGTGTGCTTGGGTCTGTTGCTGGATCCTCTGTTTTATTCCTTTGAGACTGTTTGCTTATATGCCAGTGCCTTGCTGTCCTGATTTCATGTTTGGTTGATGTCAATTCTCCAACACTGATCTCTTTTCCATTGTTGTCTTGGCTGTTGTTAGTTAGCTTTTTCCATATTCATTTACATTTTAGAATAATCTTGTCACTTTTCAGGAAAAAAAAGAACACCTGGCATTTTGATTAGGGTTGCACTGAATTTACAGATTAATTCAGGGAGGATGCATATTTATTTAAAGTTTAAACTCATTACCTTTTGGGGGAAAAAAAAATCGTAGGATTTTGGTTAGGATTGCATTGAATTTGGGGAGGATTTAGACCTTAACAGTATTGAATCTCTGAATCCACAAGCATGATATGTTCCTCCATTTATTTAGCTGTTTATATTCTACCAGTAATATTTTGTAGTTTTCTCTGTAGGGGTCTTCCATATCTTTTCTTGGCTTGATCCTTAGATGTTTGTTGTTGCAGTTGTTATTGTTATGCTTGTAAAATGTATTTTCTAATAGTTCATTGCTAGGAAATAGAAACAAAACAACAAGTTTTTCTATTAATTTTGTATCCAGTAATTCAGAAATTAATTCTAATAGTTTATTTATAGATTCTTTTTGATTTTCTCAAATATAGTAATGTAATATAGTTTTATTTCTTTAATTCCAACTTTGATGTCTTGTTTGTTGAAATGCTATGTAGTCTGTTTCTTTCTTTATTTGAGAGGGCGTGCACTCAAGTGGGGGAGTGGCAGAGACAGAGAGAGGAAGAGAGAATCCCAAGCAGGCTCTGCACTGCCAGCGGAGAGCCTGATGGGGGGGCTCGATCACATGAACCATGAGATCATGACCTGAGCTGAAATCAAGGGTCGGACACTTAACCGACTGAGCCACTGAGGCGCCCTGAAATGCTGTGTGCTCTTGTATACGTTGTTGAATAGAAATGAATAGAATGAAGGCAGGTAGCCTTGTTAACACTGCCTAGTATGAGAGAAAAGCTTCTATTTTTCACTATTAAATGTGATGTCAGCTATAGGTTTTTATAGATGGTCTTTATCAGATTGAGGGTGTTCCTTTATATTCCTAGTTTTTAATCATGAATGGGGGTTGAATTTGATCAGCTGCTTTCTTTGATATCCACTGTGATGATTAGAGGATTTTTCTTCTTGATTCTGTTAATGTTGAATTGATTGATTTGGGGGAGACGGTGTCTTTATTTTTTTTGACATTTTTATTGAAATAATTTTGGGGATTGATTGTTCATTTTTTAAAAAAAAAATTTTTTTTTCAACGTTTATTTATTTTTTTGGGGACAGAGAGAGGTAGAGCATGAACGGGGGAGGGGAAGAGAGAGAGAGAGAGGAAGACACAGAATCGGAAACAGGCTCCAGGCTCTGAGCCATCAGCCCAGAGCCTGACGCGGGGCTCGAACTCACGGACCGCGAGATCGTGACCTGGCTGAAGTCGGACGCTTAACCGACTGCGCCACGCAGGCACCCCGATTGTTCATTTTTTAAAAATGTTTATTTATTTTTGAGAGAGAGACCGAGAGAGAGAGAGAGAGTATGAGCTGAAGAGGGGCAGAGAGAGGGAGACACAGAATCTGAAACAGGCTCCAGGCTCTGAGCTGTCAGCACAGAGCCCGACGCGGGGCTCGAATTCACAAACCGCGAGATCATGACCTGAGCGGAAGTCGGACGTTTAACGTTTAACCGACTAAGCCACCCAGGCGCCCCTCCTGTGGGTCTTTTTCTAATATCAGTTTTTCCCCCTTGGTTTCTGGTCATTTGTTATTTCCTTGAATGTCTGCCTATTTTCTTCTGAGTACCAGAAACCAAATGTGAAAAATGTTGGAGATAGTTTGAGGTTTTGGATGACTGTTCTAAAAACCTAAAACGTCTATATATGATATTTTTATAAGTGCTGTTATAAGAACAAACACACATGGGAGAAGAGGGAACTGGTAGGAGTCAATTATTAATAGAATTATCCTGGGTTCCTGATGGGGAAGGAATTGAGGGAAACTGGGAGAAAATGAAGATCTTGAAGAGTATGGAGTGAGACAGCTTTAAGAGTAGAAGATTGGTGTCATTTGCAATAACGTAGATGGAACTAGAAGGTATTATGCTATTAGTCAGAGAAAGACAAATGTCAAATGACTTCACTCATAGGAGGACTTTAAGATACAAAACAGGTGAACATAAGAGAAGGGGAGCAAAAATAATATAAAAACAGGGAGGGGGCAAAACATAAGAGACTTAAATATGGAGAACAAACAGAGGGTTCCTGGAGAGGATTTGGGAGGGGGGATGGGCTAACTGGGTAAGGGGCATTAAGGAATCTACTCCTGAAATCATTGTTGCACTATATGCTAACTAACTTGGATGTAAACTAAAAAGCTAAATGAAGACTGAAAAAAAAAAAACCCAAAAAACAAAAACAAAACAAACAAAAAGAGTAGGAGGTTGGCATCAAAGACCTTTAGATTAAAAAGAAAAATAGTCAAAGGTAGCAAAATTCTGTGCAAAACAATCAACATGTTACTAGAGTTTAGGAATCAGTCACTTAGTGTTGAAAAGTCTAGGGAATCTTAATGGATGGTGTTGGCATATGTTAAGTTTTGAAGGAAAGAAATTGTGTAAATATTGAAGAGCAGGAAGAGAATTTTAGACTACACTGGACTTTTCAGCTGCTTTTCTCCAAGTTTCCTTTGAAATGACCTTGAGTCTGATTGTTCTAAAAATGTTCAGCATAGTGTTAGGGGTGGGGGTGAGGAACAGACGCCATCATATTTCTCCCATAAACTCACACACCCTAGGTGGATTCATATGGCTAGGAAGCAGTGGGACTACAGCTTTAGGCTCAAAACTCTCAGATCCAGTGAGCCTTCATTCTTTGAGAATATTAATACCTGCCCTCACATGTGTTTTGTAAACATTTCAAAAACAAAAAAGTACATGTGTAAGGTGTTGAATAATCACATGGCTGGATGTAGAATCGCATAATTTATAATCACACTCGAAGGAAAATTTTTCAAGAATTTACTACGTACGCATTTTATTTTTTTGTATAACTTAATTGTGTTAAGTAAAATTAATGACAGATTTATGTGTGAATTAGAGCATATCCACATCAGAAGTTAATGTTACATTTTTCTGCTTGAGGGTAAAAATATCATATGTACATTCTCATGATCTTTGAGAGAATGAATTTTCTTTTGAAATTGAAATCAAATACTGTAAAAACAGATGAATTGTCATTTGATGTAAATTCAGACTCTTAGTTTCTATTTAGATCTACAATAAAATTTAAACAGTGTAGATTATTGGATAGTATATGTCACTTGATCTATTAAAACAGTCCCGGTCCTAAAGGAATATTATAATTCATAAGCAAAGCAGTATGTTAAAACTTCATTTTAAACTAAAGTATAAAATTGTTTCTCTGTCTCTAGGCAAAATTTGGATTTTCTAATATTACTGGAATTGATTACTCTCCTTCTGCAATACAGCTTTCTGGAAGTATTATAGAGAAAGAAGGTTTATCTAACATTAAGTTGAAGGTAACTATTATATTACTATAACTTATTTGTAATAAAAGTTACAAAGTTTAAACATTTCTAAAATATATTTGTTGACAATATCTTTTGAACTCATAAATTGAGGGTTCATTATAAATCCAAATTGAAACATTTTTAAGTAACTATTAAAATTTTGAGTCTAGTCAGCTTGGGGAAGTGATTTTCTCTTCTTTCTTGTGTGCAATTGTGTTCTTTCATGTCTGCAAACGCAAATCATAGCTAACTTTGGATTACCTAGATCAAAAAATTTGATTTTGCCTATTTTATGCTTTTGCCTGGATAGCTAATAGTCCTTCATTTAGTCTGAAATGAAACTTTGAGTTTCCATTTCTGTTACTGCTACTACCATTCACCTCTTGTACTAACCCCAAACCCGAGGAGTTATCCTTGATTCTTCTCTCTCCTTTAAGTGTGGCTTCTAATTCTCTTGGTTTTATCTTCAGAGTCTATCAGGCAGGTGACCATTCCTTGCTATCTCCACCGTTCTCTCCTGAGTCCAGGCTCCATCGTTTCTTGCCTGTGTGGCTACAGTGGCCTCTTACTTGGCCTCTCCGTTGCCGCTCTTGCCACGCCACCGTCCACGACCACAGGTCAAGCGGAGTGATCTTTTAAAATACCAGCTCGTGTCGCTGCTTTGCTCACAAGTCTCTAAGGGCTTCCCCATCGCATTGAGAGTGGAATCTGAACCCCCCACCGCGCCTCGCGAAGCCCCTCGTTTCTTACCTCTTTTCCTTTTCATCACCTGTGTTCCAGTCATGCTGGCTTGCTCTCTGCTCCTGAAACATGTCTAGTCTGTTCTTTTCCGGTCTTTACACCTTCTGCTCTCTACCTAGAATATTCTTGTCTCAGATCTTAGCTTACGTGGCTCATTCTCATCAGTCAGATCTGTGCTCCAATATCACCTTCTTGGGTCTTTCTTTACTGCGTTTTCCAAACCATTTCTCTTCCTAGTCGCTCACTGTCTTCATCATTCTGTTTTTATTGTCTTCATGCCACTTTATCTAGAATTATTTGTTCAGTTCATTTACTTGTCTGTTTCTTTAGAGAACATAAGATATCGCTTCTCGGCCTTTTGGCTAAGATCAGATGTAGAGAACGTAAGATGTGTTCTCATCCAGGGTCCCTTTTCTTTTTCGTTTACTTTTATGTTCCCAGTGACTGGAAAGTCCCTGAAGAGAACAGGTGTTCACGAAATACTTACTGAATAAATGAGTACTTTTATACAGACATTTCGGATAGGAGCTTCTCTAAACTTAGCTCGTAGGAATGGTAGTCATTTTGTGCTTCAGGGATCCCGAGTACTTTGGTGTGAGGGAGGAGGGGAAAAAACCCATGTTCAGACGCAAGGAGACAAAATCCACATTTTTAAATCAGAGCGTTTTCGGTAACATGCTATTTATGGTTCCTGCATTAAGTTTGTGTGAATAATCATGAGGTGATTACTTTTTCAAAGCAGCTTTTCAGAATTAAGTCCGCTGGCCAATTATTGTGACTATTCAGTGAAGCCGAGGCAGGTCACCACGTCAGACGCTCCTCACGTGTTCAGAGGCGATGGCGAATGAGTGTGCTGTGCTCGTGTAGGACTTTCACAACCCAAAGCGCACACTTATCAAGTGAAGTCACTGCAGTGTAAAGAGTCACTTAATTCCTTAAGCTTCAAGCTCTTCCTTACATCCATTCGTTCCTTTGTGAGCTGCCGAATCAGGGCCACAGAACTTCTGATTTACCAAGTTTACATCACACAGCTAGTAATATCAGCCAAAAGGCATCTTCCTTCTAATGACCCGTTTGAGTGCCACATACTTTTTGTCATCTTTAAGAATGTGTCAAACATTTTTTTTTTACGTTTATTTATTTTGAGAGAGAGAGAGAGAGCACGCGAGAGCGCACTCATGTGCCTGCACGTGAGGGGAAGGGGGAAGGGGCAAAGAGAGAGAGAGAGAGGGAGAGGGAGAGAGAGAGAATCCCAAGCGGGCTCTGCACTGACAGTGCAGGGCTCAAACTCACGAACTGTGAGATCATGACCTGAGCCGAAATCAAGAGTTGGATGCTTCACCGACTGAGCCACCCAGGTGCCCCCCAATATTCTGCTTTTTGACAGAAATAACTTTTTCATCAGCCAGGCTTGCGAGCTTCGTTAATGTGCTGGTGTTATTAGGCAGTACACCTGGCTTTGATTTGTTTCTAAATTTGTAGAGATTTGGAATGTCCAGGAAACACTTATCAGTCTCTCTTACCAATCTTAGCTTTAGTGGTCTTGGAATGACGCGCATAAAAGTTAGCTATAAAGTTGGAAGTATGCTTATTGTATGTAAAATGCCATCATAATTAATTGGTCCTTTTAGCTATGACCTTTTACAGATTGTCACTTAGATTCAGTAAAAACCGTATGTTAATCGTTCTCACAAAGACGTTGATTTTTAATATAGGTAGAAGACTTTTTGCATCTTTCCACAGAGCTGTCTGGATTTCATATTTGTGTTGACAAGGGGACTTTTGATGCCATAAGCCTTAATCCTGACAGTGCAATCGAGAAGAGGAAGCAATATGTGAAATCCCTCTCCAGGGTGTTGAACGTCAAAGGCTTTTTCCTAATAACCTCATGTAATTGGACCAAGGAAGAGTTGCTAAACGAATTCAGTGAAGGTAAATGGTCACCTGTTGTTTAAACGTGTGCTTACCTCAGGTTTAACGTACTTAAATAGGTTTTCTTTCGCTTGGCGTTTGAGGGCTTTACTTTTCCATTTGTGGGAATTGCCTGCTTCTCTTCTCTTTTAACTGTATACGCAAAGGACAAAGAAATAATACCCAGAGACCCAGAGTCCTTTCCAAAATTTTCCAAGAAATCCTGGCAGTTGGGTGCTGTGCTAACATGAGCCTGTGAAACCTCAGTTCCTTGATTAAGCTGCGTACTCTCTTACTTAGAGACTCGGACAGAGGACAGAGAGCATGCGTACCGTGCCCGGCTCCATTGTGCTCGTGTTCTGGGAGCCGGTGATGCACAAATGCAAGCAGTATTTTGTAAACATCTTACGTGGTGAGAGTTTTCACTCTGTACATACTTTCTTTGTCTTGCTAATGGTCATTCAGGTATTTAGGATTTATCTTCTTTTCAGCTTACGTAGAACAATTATTTTCAACGTGGCACAGAAACAAAAGGTGGGGACTTTGTAGTAGAAATATGACCTGTGAACTCTTGGGGAAATCTCTTCCTTTTCCATGGTTTTGGTTCCCAGACAGGAACCTTTTTCGCCCCATTAGAGAAGTATAATTAGTACCGTGTCTACCAAGTGGGGATCTTGTGAGAATCGAGAATCTATAACCTATACACAAATATTTTGAGAGCTTTGGCAGACTGTTCCTTGCATATCTTAAGGAATATATTACCTGCCAATTTATTCATGCAGCGCACAGGTGCTTCTGGGAAAGTACCTTGAGAATCCAGAACTAGTGTTTGCTTGTTTTTTTTTTTTTTTTCACAGTCCCTTTTTCAGATTAGTATGGCGTTTTTTAAAGAAATGAGAGGAACTTTTAGGATGGAATATTAATAATAAATGCTACGCTACTAAATTTTTGTTAAATTTGAACCTTGGTTGTCCCAAGCTAATGGGAAATGAATTTATAACTGTTTTGCATGCACTTTATCTTAGAGTTTGTTTTCTTTTTTGGTAGTAAGGGAATAGGCGGTGGGAGGGAGCACAGTTAACACGTGTCTTTTTGTGCACATTCAGTGACTTTGGCACGTTATATAATGTAAAACCTGAAGTGTTTGAGGCTTGAAATGTGAGCTTGTGGTTTCATGACTACTGCCTCTGGAAAACAAGAATTATAGGTGATTTATTGTCCTGTACTTCGTGCCATTAATTTTACTATCTCCCATGTTAAATTTGTTTCCTTTAGAACTGTTGAGGCCCCGTCTCCATAGTCTTTCCCAGTTCCAGAAGCTTGACAGTTTTAATAAATGCTCGAAGTTAACACTGTGTAGGGCAAGTTTCTTTCCCGGTTCTTAAATACAGGTGTTCTCTTTTACCCCTGGAACCACCAGACAAAAACATATTTGTCTGTCTTTGATAATGAGGAACAGACTTGAGCCTGGTAAAGGGTCCTTAAAATCGTGTCTGTGTCTGAGAACCACTTTAACTTATGTTCAGTTTTAGAGCTTAATACAGAATTTAAATAAGCAAAATGTTACAACAGGAAATGTTAAATATGTACAATTGAAGACGTTTTTAGCCATGTGTCTCTGAGAATATGGTGTTTGGAGTTGGGCCCCGAACACTCACAGAATACGTGCATCACTGCTGAGGGTCTTGGCAGTAGCTTCTCAAGATTGGCTCCCATGGTCCCTTTTGCGTAGAATGAAGCTTGCTTTACCGGTCTTGAAAGACTTTTTGCTTCTTTCCTTATCTGAAACATAAATGTTCATAAAACTGTTGAAATCTTGTACTTTTCCTTTACAGCCATGTCTATATAAACATTTTATGTTGTCATTTGTTTTGGTGAGGATTACCGGAGTCATTTGCCAGATATTGGGGTGTTCTAATTTGATGTCCAAGGAGCTGGACTTTCTTAAAACTACTGAATTAGAAACAGTCCCGAAAACCTATTTTACCATAAAAGTAATCTAAATTCGTTATGAGAAAGATTGAAAAATGTCAATAACCCCAACACATAAGCATATAGATTAAAATAACTAAAAGTGGGGTGCCTGGGTGGCTCAGTCGGTTGAGCTTGACTCTTGATTTTGGCTCGGGTCACGATCCCGAGCCCCACGTCGGGCTCCACGGTGAGAGCGAAGCCTGCTTAAGATTCTTTCCCTCTGCCTCCCCCCCTCCCCGCCACGTGCACTCACGCGTGCTCTCTCTCCTAAATTAAAAACAAAAACAAAACAACAACAACAAAACTGAAAGCATTTGTTACCTATCACTGGAATACAACCACTTTTTAAGATTTTGGTGCATTATCTATTAAAATGTAATCACTTCAATTCTGTATAGTTTAAGGAGTTAAAAGATTAGTCCTGGAAAATTCACACAGACCTCTCCATTTTCTCCAAATTTTTATTATGAAGTATTTTAAGCCTGTGTAAAATTTCAGAAAACAGATAGATTTTGTGCCTGTATATCCAGCACAGTGGCTCCATTTAGAGGCCTGTCCTTCTTTGGAAAAGCTTTCTTATGATCAGTTTTAATGAGCATTTTAACATATGGTCATTTGTTAAAATTTGGTGCAGTTTGATTAAGAATGTGAGTTAGAATGCACAATGAAACCAAGTACAAGAGGCCAGTTGATGCAATAATATATATCCTGTTATATTTTTTCTGTTTATCAGAGCTATTTCAGCTGCAGTTCGAAAATGCGGACACCACCCTTTCCTAGGGAAAAAAAAAAATCGACCCTCCAAACTAATAGACCTATCACTGAAGGAAAACCCTGGTTTAACTTCCCAGCCTTGTTTGTCCTGGTTTAAAATCATAAAATGTTAAATTTCCATTTTTTAAAAATGTTTATTTTTGAGAGAGAGAGAGAGAGAGCATGAGCAGGGGAGGGGCAGAGAGCGAGGGAGACACAGAATCCGAAGCAGGCTACGGGCTCTGAGCTGTCAGCACAGAGCCCGAACGGGGCTCGAACTCACAGACCATGAGACCTGAGCCGAAGTCAGGCCTTTAACCAACTGAGCCACCCAGGTGCCCCCAAATGTTAAATTTCCATTTTATTTTGTAGTTCAGGAAAATGCCACGTTACCTCATTTTGATCTTTACAAAATCACTATGAGGTAGGTAGGGGCACTGGCATGTGTAACCTCCTTGCTTTGAAAAGGAGGATCCTGGTAGCCTATCTTTCACCTTGTAAAGTGGTCGAGCTGGGACTTGAACCCCCGACTTTTGAATCCATGTTAATTTAAAAACCACACGGTGCTTCCTTGAAAATTCCTACTTCCTTTTCTTCCCAGATTCTTAGTTCAGTTTGGGTCTTGATCTTTGGTTACATATTCTTTTTGTTGTGGTAAAACGCGTAGAAGGTAAGATTCTCCATATAACCCTTTTAAAGTGTACTGCTCTGTGACATTGAGTACGTTGCCATTGTTGTTCAGCCATCACCGCCCTCCACCTCCAGAACTTTTTCATCGTCTGCAAACGCCTTTTCACTTCCATGTTGTTTGACCCTTCGGTGTTAAATACTTCGGCGTGTGTGGTGTGGGTTAAATCGCTACAGAGGAAGCTCCCAGAACCGTTCCCCGCTACCTGGGATCGTCTCCGCACACGGTGGCTCCTTCCTGCGAGGTGCCGCGGTAGACGGAGGGAGATACAGAGTCTGAGAGAGAAGAGACCAGAAGTGGGGGAAGGGAGGGAGGAGGGAAAGCCTCTTTCCTGCCGGTTGACTTCGGTCTTGCCTGCTGCTTGCTCAGTTTAAAGCGTCAGTGGGGACGCTCGCAGGGGGATTGAAAATTTACCATGTGAAATTCAGTCACGACTTGGAGTCTGGAATCATAGTTTTGCGAAAGATTCGCAGGTACCTCGTTAATACAGACTTCCCTTCGCTGTGGGACTCAGCCCCTATTAAAAATATTTTAATCTTGTCTGACAGGGTTTGAACTTTTTGAAGAGCTGCCAACACCCACGTTCAGCTTTGGAGGCAGATCTGGAAACAGTGTAACAGCTTTGGTTTTCCAAAAAACGTGAGACTTTTCACTGGACAAATTCAGTTAGCTTTGTTACGAAGCTCCACATCAAAGTAGCCCTGACACAGAAAATGCACGTGCAAATACGTGCTTAGTAAGTACCGCAGGATGTGCACGTGTTGAATGGATGCGAAGGGTCGCTAAAGATAACGCGCTCACGGGGGTGGTTGAGTTTTAGAGACCAACCGAGAATCATGTCAGGTTTTCTTTTGTACTTGGAATGTAAATCTTTTTCTCTTCGATTAAAACTTTTCTGTAACTGCTGAACAGTTAAAAACTTTAAAGCAGTAAATGAATTTCCAGAAAGCACGTGCTCTTGGTTTTTGTGCCTTGGTGAGGTCGAATCGAATGGAACTGCTTGTTCAGATTGGGTGAAACGACTCCAGGGCCCGGGTCATAAACACCAGCCTTCTTCGTGTTTTATTAGACTGTTTGTGAAACATCATAGGTATACTTATGTTTGGGGTTGAACGGTGGTTATTTAAAAAAAAAATTATTAAAAACCCGGGAAAGTCCCCTAGTTTTCGTGTATACAATTAAAGTCAGATAAATGTGTGAGTTGATCAGGAAATATTTATTGAGCTTGTTTGTTGCCGCCAATGGGCTTTGCTGTTTTTTTTTTTTTTTTTAACCCGCTTTGAGGGAAAAACAGGAAGTAGAAAAGATAACTAACAGATACTGTTATCTGCTGGCTCCGTGTTAAGTTACGTTACGTTACGTTAAGTTACATTATCGTATTAAATCAGCGAATCCTCCCGATACCTTCTGAAGGTGTGTGTAACTTACGCCTGTCTCCACTGGAAGGACCAGTACCGGGTGGAGCCGGGATTCTTTGGGTCTGACTGTTCCCCTGGCCGTTCCCCCGGCATATTCTGCTTCCCAGGTGCTAAGTAAGTCTCTGCCTTAAAGGCAGTTGCGGTTCAGTGAGGGAACCAGGACTGGTCTGGAGAAGACGCTGCCAGGG